ATTATATTGCATATCCGTCTCGGGATTTTATCAAGGACCTTGAGACAAACAGAAGGAGTCTCCAGACCATATATAGTAGCAATACTCCATGCAAGGGCGAATGGTTGATTTGTAAATTTGAAGGATCGATTCCGAGGAGAAAAATTTCCTGGCACGGCACAGGGATCCAACTTTCCTTGCGGTGGACGAAGCTATTGACTCAATGTATTTGTTCCATCTCAGGTCAGTAGTCGATAGTTGTTATTGTTATACTGGAACACACCTATTATATAGTTAATAGACTCTCCCACCTATAATAAGTAGGAGTAGTAGTAGCAGTGGCTCATAGGAGTTGGTCAGTCAGTCGATGTCGGACGACCGTGTGTCGGACACTAAAGTATCGGCGACCACAACTAGATTTCTCTGCGTCATTACCTATTATATCAAGTTCCTAACGTTTTGTACATCGAACCTATTTTAGAACCGACTTAGTGAAATACAAGCCTCCACTGTGAAACTACTCTATAACAGTTATTGAACATACTTCTAGAACTGCAATATTCAAAATCTCCGTATTTGTCAAGAATACTTAATAAATCCATAATACATCCTATTTATTACGATCAGAGTTAAGCAACGTAGAGTCTGGTCAGTACCCAGATGGATGACCACTTGGGAATACGATCTGCTGTTTTTGGATCATTAAATGGTGTAATTTTAATGACTCGGAATTGTTAATCGGAGAACCAAGTTCCAATTCCATTTGGGGTCTTTAATTATTCACATTTGACAAATACCTTTGGGAAATTTAGAATAAATTTATTTTCCCCCAAATTATGGGTTAATTAATCAGACCTGTATCACTAAATTATCGCAAAACCTTCTTAAAATCTAAAAAAAATTATGGCGTTAAAATAACCTGCAAAGGGTTGATAAGCCGTAGAAAATGAATGAATCAATCAAATATTGATTTGCTACACAGGCATGTTTTTTTTTAGATGTATTTACATTTTCTAGAATATAGATGCATAAGAAACTACCTTGCCCACAGAGTGAGGGACCAATTTTCATGCTGATCGTAATATAGGATTGATCCCCTACTTTATATCCACATAATTTCTTGTTTCTTGTTTATCAAATTCTGATTAGGTATGGAGTCACCTCTTCTCCCGCCGAGATATGAGTTAATTAGTAAGAATTGTATTACGAAAATAGTGTTATCTAAAAAACAAAAACAACAACAAAAAACAAAACAAAAAACAAAAAAGAAAACAAAACAAAAAACAAAAAAAACAAAAACAAGAAAGAATCTTACAATCTAAAAATATCTAAAATAACCTTAAATGGGTTGATAAACCATAAAAAACGATATCAATTTATTGACAACCGATTAAAAATGTATATTTTGGGATTGACTGCCTTATTACTAAAATGTAAATCAAGAAGAATATTATCTTTAAAACCGATACTTAATCTTTTTTTCAATCACAAATTCATTGATTCCACTGATAACATTTTAACAGCAATAGCATCAGTTAATCTTTTTAATCATTTCACTTTCAAGCAAGGGGATAAAGACTCAATGACTGACACGCAGTTTTTCTTTTTTTAAGTCGCTTTATTTCACGAGATGCTATAGTCATAACATTTTCTTCCAGGAGGAACGCTGAGAGAAAAGGGTTGGTAGAGAGGGCAAATATCAACCGGTTGGTCAAAATCTCATCACCACGTGCTGGCTATTATCGATAATCTGACCCTTTGTACTCTTTCAACCATCTTACTGACAATGCGCCCGTTTAATCACATATAAAAACGTAAGCATCAAAATTTCACCCTTGCGGGGTTCATATCCTATCACTCCTTTCGTATCGTAAAAGTTGTTACCAGTGCTCTAACCTTTCGGACCCGCCTACTCATTTTGTAGTAGTCACACCTGTATAGTTATTTTTTAATATAGTTTATTGATTTAATATAAAAAGGATGAATATGACTTCCCTTAATGAGACTTGAGTGTTTTGATTTTGCAAACGTCTGATGCTTGTGGTTTAATTAGTTATTGATAGCAAATAAAGAATTTTTCATTAAATGCTAATCCGTCAATCGTGATCTTGTTTTGTTTTTATTCAGTTTCATAACTGACAAGGTTTGCACACATGTGTACGCCGATCTTGAACGGCTGACGGAATTCTGAAGGGTGCCTTCCGAAGAAAAACAAATTCACAATGTGAGATACTGAGAATATACGGCGCCTGAAGAGTTACTTATTTAACTTTTAAATTAAAGTCAAGAAAAAAAAAAAAAAAAAAAGAAAAAGAAAGAGAAGAGTTTTGAATCCCTTTCATGCATATTACGTTTCAGTCAAGGTAAGCTGTACTTTTCTGCAAAGCCATTGATCACAAAAGAGAAATGAGATTTTAAATCGAATTGGTTTTCTGTCGTGACTTGTTCAGAAAATTTAAAACCTGATTAGTTTTCATGGTTTTTAATTACATTCTAAAGAACCGGAAAATGTGAATGATAACAATAATAATTTTTTCAATTTCTTCCTCTTCATTAACCCATCGTCGTCATTGCGATTAGCCTTTAATTTTTCCGACATTTTGTTTTTTTTGCTTTTTTAATTTTCCCTTTCTGACTTTTTTTTTTTTTTTTGCTTTTTTCACCCAAGTACAGTCGCTTCGTGTCTGTTTGAGCGCAATCCTTATTCGCCCGATTCTTAAAAACCTAATAACTTGCTGCCTCATCTTTCGCGTCTATCGGTTCATTTTCATTCTTCTATCCTTTTCATTTCTTCGTTTTCTATCTTTAACCATTGTATAGGCACGGTGGAGTAATGGATAGCGGCTCGGATTGAAGAATCGGAGAGCTGAGTTCGAATTCCGATCGAATCCAGTACATTCATTTACGTGCTAATATTTTTGGGAAAGTTATGAATCCTCTTCTCTTCCCAGCTATGGGTAAATAGCAGGACCGACCGGATTCTATAGCCTTATATGGCAATTGGTCTACCACAGAAAGAAATGGCAACCCAGTACAGGGAAAAATAGATGCATGAGCGCCTAAGCGTGACACATAACTGACTGAGATAGTTTTTTTTTTATTTTTCTCATTCCCCTTTCTCTATTTCCATTATTCCTGCATCTTTTCTTTTATTATATATATATATTTTCCTTTTCACTTTATTTATCCTCCTCTTCTTCTCTTTTTCACTCCACTGAAGTTTTTATTTTTTTAATTTTATATCTAGATGTCTTTTAAAAATCTTCTTTAATTTCTCTTATTTTTCATTCTCAAAAAATTTTTCTTTCCTTTTCCATTTTTTATCCTCTATTTAAATGAAATCTCTCTCCTTTTACCCACTTTCTCCTTCCCCTCCTTCTCCGGCTTCCTTTCACAGAAAGAAATATTTCTAAAACAGACCTCCCATTTCCTTTTTCTATTTTCACTTCCTTCCTTCCTCCTCCTCCTCCTCCTACTGCTGTCTTTCTCTCTCCTATTTTTCATTTTCTCTTTTTAATCACTCCATCCTCCTAAGTTCTTCTTCCCCACCTCAAATTCCCTTAACAATGACCCCAACCGAGTTTCATTCGTGAATGGATCATCTAATTAGTGTCTCTACAATCGGCCTTCTCTATTCGCGACAGATTGGTTACAAACCCCACGCAGAAAACGAAAAAAAAATACAAATTCTGAAATCCCTTATACGATGACATGACAAAAGTCACAGAATAGCAATATGTAAAGGTAATTATAAGACATTTTTATGTTTATACATTCTTTTTATAGATACAAATATTTAAGCAAATGCTCTGTTTATAATAAACAGTATTAAACATTTACCGGCCTGAATGTCCAGTCAATTTTTTAGAAAATATTCGTCCTCCGACAGGAATCGAACCTGTATTTTATACGGATTTTCATATAGCCTGAATTGCCTTTAACCTGTTGGGCCACAGAGGAGCTTATAAATCCGTCAAGGTCGATTTTAATGTCCTTAAACTAATATCTTCCATGATTCTCTCACGTATTCAAATATTTGCTAAAATGATTTTATATCCAGATGTTTAAACAAATGACGTCAGAACATTATGAAATGGACAAAAATTCAGACAATTATTTTAATAAAATTTTATGTTTATACATTCTTTTTATAGATACAAATATTTAAGTAAATGCTCTGTTTATAATAAACAGTATTAATAAATAAAATATTTTCTGTGAAAATTTCTCGGACACTTTTAAAATAATCGTCGGACTTTGTCCATTTCATAATGCGTGACGTCATTTGTTTACATTTGATACGCCATGAGCAGATATGAATGTACGTGAGAGATTCATGGAAGATTGAAGTTTAAAAACAGTAAATTCGACCTTTTTAACCGAATATCCTCTAAATGATGGTTTCCGCACGTAGGATAAACAGGTTCGTATAGGATACAGGTTCGTTTCCTGTCGGAGGACGAATATTTTCTGTGAAATTTTCTCGGACATTCGTCATAAATGTTGTTTAATACTGTTTATTATAAGCAGAGCATTTACTTAAATATTTGTATCTATAAAAAGAATGTATAACATAAAAATGTCTTAAAAGAATTGTCGGACTTTGTCCATTTCATAATGTGTAACGGTAATTGTAGGTGGCGCCTACTGATGTCATGGAATGCCCAGATCTGACATTTGGTAAATTGATGAACACAGGCGAGACTGTTCAAGGCAAGATGACGTGAATTATCGAACGGGGCCTGAAAGTCGGTGATAGACCTATGGGAAATTCCATTTTTAGAGTTGCGGAGATAGATGGAAGGAAATATCTTAACTAAGTAGATAGATTCGCACATCGTTCGGTTCACACTCCTCACTGGTCTTTTGAACAGGAGTAGAGGTTTATCCTTTCTTTCTTGTTCAGGACTGCGTTTTCTGTTTCTTTTAAAGACTTCTCATTCTCTTTCACTCCCAGTAGACCCTTGCGTCTTAATGGCTTGCTTGGGGTGAATTGATAAAAAAGAAAAGAAACGTGGGGCTTACGGTCACATCGCGAAGAAACACCGGTCCCCGGTTGATCACCGAAGTTAAGCAATGTTGAGCTTGGTCAGTACTTAGATGGGTGATTGCTTGGGCATACCAGGTGTTGTAAGCTTCGATGTGAGGGTGATGTAAAAGAATGGTCTTGGGATTTTTAATCGGAGAGCCGAGTTCCAATACCAGTTAGGTTCGTTAGATTCACTCACAGAAGGCACGTCGGAGTAATGCTTAGCGTCTCGGATTGAAGAATCGGAGATTACATTTACTTACATGCTAATACGTATATCATACCTAATAATAGGTATGAATCCTCTTCTCCCACGAGAAATGGCAGGACAGACCGGGTTCTATAGCCTTGGATGGCAACTGGTCTACCGCAGAAAGAAATGGCAACCTACTGCGGAAAAAATCTCGTCAGTCATGTATCGAAAGATACATGATCGCCTAAGTGTGTATCACACATGACACATAACTGACTGATATTCACTTACGCGCAAATATCCTTGGGAAAGGTATGAATCCACCTATGGTAAGACTAGTATCACTATTATCTTTAAAAATATTTTCCGGTTTTAAAATAACCTAGAAAGGGTTGATAAGCCGTAAAAACAAATCAATCAATCAAAAATCGAACGTCGCATGTGTTCTGGAAATTCTTTCGAATATTGTTGATCTGCGGATTAAAAATACGCGGTTGGCTAATTTACTATAAAATGATCTCAAGTCCCATTCAGAAAGAAAATGACCATTAGTAAAAATCTTAACAAGGAAAAAATAAGTTTAAAACGAGAGACAGATAATAAATTGGTAATGATCTGTGATATTTACTAACTAAGAAAAGAGAAAAAAAATGGAGACTTTTATGTCCAGCCTTGTTGGCATATTCGAAAATTATCATCGAGCTATTTGCACGCTGTTTTAAAGAAGAAAGAAATATTTGATTTCCGTGATAAGCCAACTATTCTAATTCAATGAATTAGACCAGGTATCAAATTGAGATAGCCTCTTCGCACTTTGCCCTTTTTTATAAGAAGTTCGCAAATCTTCTGTCCTTCCATCCACCCACTATAGACAGAAATAATTTGTATTTTCCCTTTCGAATTAATCCCAGGTATTTTTCAGACAATTTGCCAGATCATTTTATCGAAGGTTTTAACGATTCATTCACCAAATAACTCGCCCCTATCCAAGTTTTGTTGGCAAAATCCTACGCCTCTGTGCCGAAAAAAAAAATGTATAGGAAGGCTTATGCTTTTTCAATCACCATCCGGTTGGGAACAAATTTTTTGGTCATCAATATGCATAATCAAAACTAAATTATGCCTAAAACTGTCAACAGAAAATTCTGTACGTGTGTGTTTCTCTAAAACGGTTTCGAGGATGATATTAATTTTTTTTTGCTTTTACAGAGTTGTTCACCCTGTACAAGGCCCAGGAGCCACTCGAGATAGAGGGTTGCGGAGTAAGAGCTACAATTTATGCGTATATGTGGGAAAGGTAACGGTTAACCCTACATTTGAAATAGGTTAAAATTGTAAGAATCCGGAAAGCATCCTCTTGGGAGTCGTTGCTGTTCGTGAGAAGAAGCCTTTCAAGTAGAACTTACATTTCACCAATGGAATAAGAAGGAAATGATGGTAGATCGCTGCAATGTGCGTGGCATGACGGGCCTTAGCTGTGAAGGCTAGAACTGGTAAAACTAAGGAATGTAGTTTGAACAATTTCCATGGAAATAGCGATAGAGCAGTGATAAGCCTGCAACTTTTCGTTTGTGAGAAAGGGGTTGTAGGGTGGAATATAATTTGCCAGCTAGAAGGATGCGGAGACGCTTTTGGCCTGAAAAATAAAACTGGTTAGCTCTTGAATATATATGGCAACATTACTCAATTTTAGGCCTGATCTGGCTCTTGTCAAGGTAGAGGGTAGCAGGGAGAGTCAGGTACTTACTGGAGAGGTGCATGGAAGTGATCATTTTTCAAGCGTCTTTACGGATGGCGCGTATATACGAGCTTCACTTAAGATCTAGCTTAAGTCCCAATAGTCGCTCAAGACACGGGACCTCCCAGAGATGTAACTAGTTTTGTCTAAGATGCATTTGTTATGGTCCGGTTCCTTGTACCACGGTGATAATCCAAGGTAGAACCAATAAAGAAGAACTCGAACACAGGTATGGAATAACACAGATATATTACAAACAGGAATATATACAGAGAAGTAGAAGTGTTAGTATGAACAATCAGGTTTAATAGAGAGAACAATGTAGTCTCGACCAGTATCACTATTCCAATGCCTTGCAGTAATTGTCTGAACGCGACTTTGTTTCGGACTGCCTCTGACTCGACTCTTGACTCGACTTGAACTACTGACTGAGGCGCAGTATTTATTAAGTATGGAATAGTCCATTATTATTATTATGTGTAAGATCCCATAACAGCATTGAATGTAACCAGCTAATTCCCCAACCCCGTTCCCTTACATGTTAGATTTCAGCCAGAGGAGAGATCAAAACTTACCGTAAAGAAGCAAACCTATCAATTTTATTAAATGCGTAACAATTTATTGAGTCGAATTATAAATGTTATAGTAATTTACCCACGTACGCATGGACTCTCCCAGCTATAAATAGGAGCAGGTACTTCCTTTTGAAGAGGAAAGTTTCCAGCAGCTAGCTCTGACAGTCGGACCGAACATTCTTGCTGTAATACTCTCGTTTGTATATGTTTGTATTACTGTTTCTGTTAATATATTTGTTTAACTCAGTCCCTCTCTTGTGTCTTTATTTCTGGTCCTAACAAGGCCACAACAATAAACAAATACCATTTCATTGTTATTTATTCTATAATAGCGATACATTTGATACCATATTCTTCCCAAAGGGTTCTCTAACAGAGTCGGGTAGGACGAATGGATACCCGCGAAAGGAAATAGTTTGGAACCCCCTGAAATAGACAAGAACTTTTCAGCAGACAATGGGTGAAACTTTTTTTTTGTTTTAATTAATTTTAACTTTCCCCTCGAGATTTGTTCACGTAGATTTTGGTGGCTTCGAAAACTTTAAGTTTTTCTTCTATTTGCCGTGTCTCTTCGGGACGTAGGCGATCATGACTCTCCACAACTTTCTATTCTTTGTAGCTCTTACTAAGGTTTGTCTTTTCACCATTCCTACAAATCCCTGTTCAACTACCAATTTACACAAAAAATGTTTTCCTCCCCCTTTCCCCTTTGTCCCCCGAGTGTCAAATTCTCCAAGCCGTCTTTCCTCATAAAGGATCCTAAAAACTTTAACCGTCTCTTTATGATTGTAAGTATAAGCTTTTCAAAACATTATCATCATTAAATATTTATTTCTAAGTATTTTTTCTATTTATATTTTACACCTTTAAATATATTTTATAAATAAAGCTTTTATATTTAAAAAAATACTATCATATATATATATATATATATAAAAATACTATCATATTTATTTATATATATATATATATATATATATATATATATATAAAATATATATATAAAAAATATATCATATTTATTTATTTATATATATATATATATATATATAAAATACTATCATATTTATTTATATATATATATATATATATATCATAACTAAACTATCCGTGACCCGTTGGATCACTGACGGTTCAGGTTAAAAAGTTGATTTCAACATTCCCTTGAAATGAAAGTTAATTTTATTATGATTCAGTTAAATATTTCAATTCGTTCTTGTCGTCATTGGTTTGGTTTACAAGTTCATGTTTAACGTTTTACTGATTGTTTACAGCATTTAATGGGAACAGAATTTCCGGGATAAACCTGAACTTTAAATCAGATTAACTTAAAAATACTTTTTAATATGCCAAAAAATATTTTAAAATCATATTCACTAAAAAATATTTTTAATATAACTTTTCTATCTTCGACGCCGGCTTCATTTGTAAATCCTGGGACGTTAAAAAAAAAAGAGTCAAAAACTACAACGACCAATAAAAAAAAACAAAAAAAAAAACAAAAAAAAAAAAAAAAAAAAACTAAAAAACAAGCATCTTCGTATGCAACCAACGAATAACTATCTCCACTATTTTTAAAAGCCGGAACTTTGACATTGAGTTTACATCAATGAAATACTCCAAATTACTACACGGCAGGCATACCCTTCTATATATAAACAAGAGAATGACCTCAGGGGATAGTGACAATGGCAGTTACTATGTAGAGCCCAGAAAAGAAGGACGCCCCTAGCCCACAGCGGTAAGCGTTACAGAAAAAAAATGGCCTCGCCGGGTTCATAGAGAAACCGCCGAAACTCCAGTTTTCCCTTTGCGAAATGTTACAAGTAATGTTCCCACTTTTTTTACACACCGTTAGTTGTTGCATATGTGTTATAATTTAACTGCGTGGGGCACAGGTATATATCTAATTTTGTGTACTACGAAGCATTATAAAACTCTCTGAGAACGAGACATGTTTGTCATTCTTTTTCCTTTCAGCTATTCCGTTCTGTCCAAGAAGTACAGTGTTATTATATCACGGATATAATAATGCCCATAATGGGGGAAATTAAAATGGGAGAATAAACCTTTCTTTCATAGCAACCTCCCATTATACCTCCATTTGGAGTATTAACGCCACACAACATAAATTTTCTTGTTCTTTACTAGATATTTAATAGTCGTATATTGGTTCTCAAGTAATGGTTTAAGTTTGTTGGTGTAATTTTTGTTATTTTTATGAAACGTTGATACAACTAATCTCCCGGAAGGCAACTACTTCTTTTCGTTTCCACTCAAAATCCTGTGACAGAAAAAAAATCTATCGTCTTCATGAAAGAAACCCAAATCGCCAAGATTAAGATCCCTTTCATAAAACGAAACATTTTATCCATAAAGAGAAAGTGATCGTTAAAATAAAGAGGGGTTTGCGGGTGATTCACAGCTCGGAATAAGAAACCAGAGAGTCAAGTTTCAATTTCAGTCGGATTCGTTACACGCAAATGCCTCTGTGCGATCATGAATCGAAAGGCGACGTGGCCGCCTACGCGCGCTAAATCCGCCTTCATTAGGCCAGCGAGGCAGGTAGTGGCCCATTCTCCTCCATGAATCTGCGGAAG